CAAAACACATGATGTGGTGTCCCTAAGTTTGATGACGCTGGGACCACAAAAAACAAGCAACTTATTATTTCATGGTGTGTTATTAAAATTTTGGAAAACATATATAGTTACCAGAAAGTATAATAATTTGAAGACTAACTTACAAGCACAATGTAAAAAAAAAGTCTTAAAGTGTCCGGCGCCGCGTCTGTCCCGCAGAATGAGGCACATGAACACTTTGTCTCTGCAGGCTCCTTTATTGACTGGGCTATAACCTCAATACACGTCCGTCCTTGACGGCTTCCTACGTGTTGTGCGTCGGGCACTTCCTATACTTGGGCTTATATAGCTAATGTTATCCAATCATGGGATTACACGTGGGGACAGGCGATTGGGCGGCAACAAGGAAGCAATCAATCATTACCATATATGGCGAGGACAGTAAGCCGAGCAAGAACCAGGAAGCAGGATGTGTGCGCCATCTTGGGCACACGATGGGCGGGGGAGCAGCGAGGCGGTAGGCGGACGCCATCTTGTGGCTATATTCTCATGGGTAATACGGCAGGCTCCCAACATCTCCCCCTTTCTTATTTACAAGGAAGGACAGCGAGACCTTCCAAGTGACTACAGAGGTCTGTACCCCGCTGTGCATGGCTCTGAGGTCATCCCCAGGCACAGGTTGGCCACCCCTGCGTTGGAAGGGACCTCCAAGCCTCATCCTTTTGTGCAGGGCTAGGGTAATTCGGATGAAACCTAGATGCATACAGACATATAGCCTGACATCTCTCTTCAAAAACCCCAAGAGTAGAATGTCATGCAGTACCATCTGGTCTCGCACCTTGGTACCTCTCGCTGTCTTAATGGAATGGGGCCTGTCTTAGGTTGAGCAAGGTGGGGTACCTTGATCTTACCCGTCTTTGGCTCGCCCATTCAGCATCCTTATAACTGATGCTCTGCAACATGAAGGAGATATGCAGCCGCCCGACCACCAGATGGGCCAGCCTCTGCCAGCTGCATAGCCACCATGGCTGTAAATCTGACTTCTTGTTGAGTCTGCATCAAGCGATCAAGCAAGCATTTAACAACCACTAATCCAACCAGGATAGCAACAGCAATAAAAATCCAGGTAGTCAAATTGGGCCAGGAGAACCAAGAGGTGACATGATTCCATAAACCTTTTAGAACCTCACTCAGGGTAGACAAATCAAATCTAACCGGGTTCAACTGAATTTTTTCTATTTCGTCTAATTCCTGACTAACAATCATTGACAGGTTGTGAAATTTTGGCAAACAAGTGTCCTGCAGCCATTTAGTCATAGTCTTTGTAGTTTCAGTCAGGTTGGTGCGAACAGGGGTGACGCAGACCCTGAAAGGCAGCCACCTCTGATCACAGAGTTGAGTGGCAACCTGCCACAACGCATCAATCTCCTGCCCGATGAGCTGGATCTCTTCTTGTAGCCGAAGTATAGCCTGGCTGTTAAGCTCAATCTGTTGCCTTTGAGCCTTGATGGTCTCTCATGTGGCGTTGCTCAGCCGATTGACTGTATCCATGGTCAGCACGAGCTGCTCGGAGGTCCATGCCTGCAAAACAGCCTGTCCCACTGCAGGGACAAACAGAGAAGAGACCACCCCCGCTGCCTGCCACAACCAATCTTTTATCCCTCCTTTTGTTCTGGTTGGCAACGAGGAGAGTGTCCTTGGCTTGGATGGGAACCCAAAGATAGCTTGGACGATATGCTAGAATGGCGAAGGCCGGGTAACCAGTCCAACAATTAGAAAGTGAGCAAGAGGTCTCATTGCTATCGGATGAATTACAATGGAAGGTGTGCTGATGAGAAAGCACATATCAGTTTTATAGGGGTGGGCGCGAGAGGCATTACAGCGGCCCCTAAGAAAAACCCAGTCCTTTCCTGTCCCTTTTAGTGACGGCGGGCACAGGAGAGGTATTTCCTTGCAATTTGATGCCCAAGCCTTTGCCAGGGGTATAGCCCATCCGTTTCATCATGTTTTGAGCCACCTCAGAACATCCCGTATGTAGGGTGATGTCCATTTGGACTAGAATATCTCTGCCCCAAAGGGTTACTGGGAGGTTAAGGACATAGGGTTGAAAAGACCCACCATGTCCCTCCTCGTCCTGCCAGGGAAGGGACTGTGCACTTATACTGGGTGAATGCACAAATCCCAATCCCTGAAGGGTCTGTTCTGCCACATTGAGGGGCCAGGAGGCCGGCCAATCTTTATGAGCAATGATAGAGCGGTCAGCGCCGGTGTCTAGCAACCCCTTAATTTTCTTACCATTGATTGAGAGGAGCAACATGGGTCGTTCCTGCAAGGTCATATGAAGGCCAATAAAATTTTCGCCCATGGACCCAAATCCCTGGGCACCCCGAGACTGTTGCTTAGCTGGATATTGACCATGCAAACTGGGCAGAATAAGTAACTGGGCTATCCTATCCCCTTTGTTTATAATCAGTGTTCCTTGTAATGACTGAGCCATAATCTTAACCTTGCCCATATAATCAGAATCGATGACACCTGGCACAACTGTAAGGCCACGAAGGGCCACTGAAGAGCGCCCTAAAAGCAGGCCAACAGTATTCAGTGGCAATGGCCCCTTAAATGAAGTTTCTATCAATTGGACTCCCATGTCAGGTGTTAGTATGAGTCCGGAGGTGGCACAGAGGTCCACTCCTGCTGATCCTGGGGTGGCCCTAACTGGCTGTTCATTCCCGGGAAGAGGTTGTTGAGGGGATGGGGGCCCGCCCGGTGGGAGGGCCACCTCTGGCCATTTTTTGACTGGGACTCTTTGCGGCCAGTTAGAGAATTGCCCTCCTTATCAAAAACGGAACGACAGTCCTTGGCGGCATGGTGGCCCTTACGGCACCGTTGACATAGGCCCGCTTGTCCTCCACTGGGTGTCCCACTTGGTTGAGGGTGGTCACCTTTGCTTTCTTTATTTGGACACAATCTCCTAACATGTCCTGTCTGGCCGCACTCAAAACATTTTTTATTTCTTTGTGTCTGTTGTTGTGTTGCTGGGGTGCGAGAGCTGAGGGCGGTGTTAATAGATGCGCTCACCAGGGTTGCAAGGCCTGAATTGGAAAGCGGCCCCCCTACCTCTCTGCATAACTTGGTCCAAGTCTCTAGACTCTTATTTTTGTGCGGTGTAATCACTGCACGGCAATCCTTGGTACACTGTTCAAAGACTAGCTGTTTTACCAGGGGCTGGGCTACACTAGGGTCTGGAAAGACCTTGCCAGCAGCATCTAACATCCTGGCCACAAAATCAGAAAATGGCTCTGTCATTCTCTGCACAATTTTGGTAAGACAGGCAGTATGTTCGCCTGCCTTGGCAAGTTGTTTCCAAGCGGCGATGGCACACTTAGTAATCTGATCATAAACTGCCTGAGGATGTCGAATTTGATCCTGCGCATGGGCTCCCTGGCCTAATAACATATCTTTGTTCCACCTGACATTGCGCTCTCTAGCGTTTTTCTCAGCCTGCTCTCCGCAATACTCATCATTCCATGCCTTCCAGTCCATAAATTGGCCTGGGGACAAACACTCCCTTGCGAGTTGTGCCCAATCCGAGGGTGTCAGAGGGGTGGCTCCTATGTTTTCCAAAAGAGCCTGCGTAAAGGGGGCGTTGGGGCCGTAAGTGGAGACTGCCTCTTTTAACCCCTTAACCACTTTCATGTCCAGGGGCTGATAATAAGACGCGCCGGCCTGGTCCTGGAGGACCGGATAGAAGCTGGGAGCGTCATACGAGGCAAGGCCCCTACGCAAGACGTCCCATAAACGGCCATGAAATGAGCGGCGTCCGGAGAACGGAAGTGTGGCAGGGAAGGGAGGAGGCGGCCCCCAACCACCAGGGGCACTCATTCCCTGGGGTGGTTCCCAGGGAGGGGCCGACGGGACTAACCCCGCCTCACCGGGGGTGTGCATTTCCTGCAGATCACTCTCCACCCTCTCGAGCTCCTCCCCTAGGCTCTCCATCATCCCTTCACACAAGGCTCCAGCAGGTTTATGAACTTTCTGCCCTGTATTGCGATGTGGGCCTATTTTACTGTCAGTTTCCCCCCTTGGGCCCACCTTAGGGTCTTCCCCCTCTGAATCTGAATGGCTCGGTGAGCTAACCTCTGAGGCCTCCCTAGAGCTCTCTGAGCGCGCCTGCTCGAAAGCGTGGCGTGCCTCTTTGAGTCCCCAGGCTGCGCCTACCATACTTTCGGTTTTGAGACATGCTCGAACCATCTCCCATATGGGGCGGACCATAGGGTCGACACCCATCCCTTGTTCCTCAGCAAACTGAATATCACATCCTAACTTCTCCCAGGAGGGTAAAGTGAGGGATCCGGTGGGCAGAAACCATGGGGTCAAACCATCGATACATTTGAAAAACTGCAGCACCATTTGCTTATCTATCCTAATCCCTCGCGCCTTAAGCAACAACCACAGCGATAAGGCGAGGGGGCCGCAGTTAACATTGCCCATCTTAACAAAATTAAAGAGCCCCGAGGCGCAATAGCCAACAGAGGCCTGCCCTTCTTTTTCGGGCAATGTCGATCCCCGCAAGGGGTTGACCAGTAGATCCCTTAAAGTGCGTCCACCAAGGGCCGGGTTAAGCCGCCGCTCACCCGCAGGTATGTGCCATTTTTCAACACAGTCACAGGAGCTGCAGAAGGCACGGGAATGGTTTCGAGTCCCCGTACGGGCCACCAGCTGTCCGGCGCTGCGTCTGTCCCGCAGAATGAGGCACACGAACACTTTGTCTCTGCAGGCTCCTTTATTGACTGGGCTACAACCTCAATACACGTCCGTCCTTGATGGCTTCCTACGTGTTGTGCGTCGGGCACTTCCTATACTTGGGCTTATATAGCTAATGTTATCCAATCATGGGATTACACGTGGGGACAGGCGATTGGGCGGCAACAAGGAAGCAATCAATCATTACCATATATGGCGAGGACAGTAAGCCAAGCAAGAACCAGAAAGCAGGATGTGTGCGCCATCTTGGGCACATGATGGGCAGGGGAGCAGCGAGGCGGTAGGCGGACGCCATCTTGTGGCTATATTCTTATGGGTAATACGGCAGGCTCCCAACATTAAAGGGTGACCTTGGCAAGAACAGAGGAGAAAAGGTAAAATCACTCTCTAGAATCAATTTTCCAATTGTACAAACATCACTGATTAAAAAGATACACAGGTTAAAATCTTAGAACCTTTATGTGTATCTTACACGGAATTTGAATCCAAATTAGCAGGTATAGTTCAGGAATATACACAGGAGCACACCTTGAGATTAAAATGGATTCCATCATTTTTCTGCTACTAGACATGGCTATTTTAGGACTTTGGTCTTTAAGATTATTCTTTTACTCTTTTGTATTGTATCCACATGACCCATGATCTGTTAAAAGTTATTCTGTCCTCATGGACAGAAAAAAGAAGTTGGGAGTTGAAAATTTAATGTGCCTCTGGCTCTATCCCAGAGTGGCTTAGGAACAAGAAAATATGAAAAACAGTAACAGCAACAAAAAAGAAAAATCCACTCTCATCTCTAAGTGCAGTACCATGGTCTCCTAAGCTTTGTTGTCTTCCCCAAGCCTCCTGGGAGCCACGCTCATTATTACTTGCAGGGGCCCCGGGCATTGGTTCCTTGTTCTCTTTTCCCAGCCGTGGGTTCTACCCCACTTGTCACCGTGGAGAGGCATAAGGCTGCAGAGAAACAGCTGACGTGCACTTCTGACGGCTGGTTCCCACAGCCCCACGTGCAGTGGAAGGACACAGAAGGAAGAATAGTGCCATCGGATCCTGCAGTCCTACATCAGGGCCAAAATGGGCTGTTTGACGTGGAGTCACACCTGTTAGTCACAAACAGCTCCGTGATGAACGTGGCTTGTTCCGTCAGCAACCTCCCGCTGGGTGAGGAGAAGACAGTGGCTGTTTCCCTCTCAGGTTGGTGATTCCACATGATCCTCTCAGGATAACAGGAGATAAAAATCAAACTCAGACTTGCTTGTTTTCTTGTGCTTTTTTAACTTTAAACATTTTTTTCACTCTGATGTAATATTCTAACATTTTTTTCACTCTGATCTAATATCTTGCAAGTCTGATCTGTAGGACTCCTAGGGATCCTGCTCCTCTGAGTTTCTCATCCGTAATCCCAACCAGAGCTCCAAAGATGTACTCACTGCTGGGAATATACTAAATTCTAATAGCTGACTCTAATTTGTAAGACCTACACATTCACTTCTTATGTGAAAACAAGAGTAGAAGTTTATTCTGTCTTGGTGGATATTAATTCAGATTAGAAAATAATTTTTCCTAACATCATCTTCTTGACTGTAGCCTAAGCAATTTCCCCTTTTGCCACCCCAGCTATTCCACTGGATGTGTGGTCTAATTGAAAAACAAGGAGACAGTAAGTGTGTGAGTGTGTGCATGCGTGCACACTGCTGAGAGACGCACACACCAAAGTCAGTCTGGGCCCTACAGCCATTCCCCAGCCTCTACACAGTATTAGATCAAGGGGCTTGAGTGGAACCTTCTGCTATCCCAGGAGCTGCTTGGATTAAAGGACAGTCTGGATACTCTTCCAGTGTCATGGTTTACAGGAATTCTAGGCTTTACTTTCAGAGTCCAAGATGAATTTTTCATGGAAGATGCTGCCTGTTTTGGGATTGCTTCTGGTGGTGACCATAGGCTTGATCTGGATGAACAGCTGTAAAAAAGGTAACTTGTGGACATAGACCCAGTGCAAAGGAGTCATGGCAGTGTGACTTACTCTGCGCTTTTCTTGGCCTCTCTTTTCAGTGGTCAAGAATGCATCAGAGAACTTCGTTAATCATTGAATGTGGAGAATCTCTGGTTTATTTTCATGTCCACCCTTTGTTATAAATGAATTTTAAGCTTACAGCAATAATAGGAGCAACAGGATTAAAGGACAATAACTTGGTTCTGTAACCATCATTCCCTAAACACCCAGTGAAGGAAGAAGAATAAAGTTAGTGGATCGCTGTATGCTGCTGAAGCCGAGAGCTGAGATCTTCAGTGAGATTCTGTTGGCATGAACTTTTACTGAGATCTCTTAAAATGCAATGCTTTACTTATTGGCAGTTACTGCCTTGCCAGTGAAGGCTTTCTTATATGTTGGTGGGGTATTTTCTGTGCCCTAGAAGTTCTACATGAAATTTCTGATGTTACCAAAATGTCCATTTGCTTCTTTAGATGTTAATAGCATAAAATTAACACTTTTCAACATGAATGTATTGTCAGCATGGACTTTTTTCTTTACAGTGAATATGACCCAGGATGTTAACACAGGTTACCTGAGATCCACTCTTCCTGGGGAAGACAAGACCATTGTAACCACTGAACATTCATACAGCCAGATGTCCCACAGGGCGCTGACAGCCTCCTCTACACTCTGGGTCAGGCGGGGCTCGCATCAGCAAGGGGGAACTGAGAGTTGGGGGTGAGGATGAGACAGTGTTGGCCCTGGGCATCAGTGACAATGTCTTGAGGAAAAAATCACTTACATGTTACTGTAAAATGGATTTTGGGCAATGAATTGCTGTGGACATTAACATTGAGCCATCAGTTCTTCAGACCTCTTCCTAAGGTGACCCCTGGTCTACTGGCCTCCCTCAATTATTCCTCTGCACAATTCTCGCTCGTAATACAACCAAAACTTTCTTCAGTGATTGCTCCTCTGTATTTATCACTTGCCAAGGTCGCTCTTGCACCCCAGAGGGCCTATTCATCATTACCATGGAAACGGCAACCTTGATTCTGGAAAGCAGGATCCTATTAGGAGTCTCAGATCTTTTCTCCTTCCACCAGCAGCTCAACAGGCTCCAAGTCACGGGGGCTTTAACTTCACCCAGGATTCATATCTGATCTAGAGACTGATCTCTTCATAGACTGGTCCTAGGCCAGGTTCCGTTCCATTGTTTCTACCCATCACAGTCTGATGTCTGATGACTGAATGCTTAGAAAAATCTAATGGGAAAAGCAATTTAGCATAAAGGAGAAAAAATAAAAAAGAGCAAGTATTTGATGATTTTCTATAAGATGGTAACAATTATATTGTCCATGTAAGTGCGGTTGAGAGAACAAAAAACACAGTTTAAAAAACAGTAAGGGTTAATACAGCTGCATATGAATATAGAAATCTGTTCAACAAAAATAATCATGAAATTTGTAAGATGTGTTTTGAAATTTCTGATGTTAATACAAGTGATGGGAGGGGGATTCTTCTGTGTGTCTTGCCAGAGAGTATAAAGCTTTAGAAACTGAAGCAGAATGATGTTGTAAAAAAATGAGCAGGTGAATGATTATAACCACAAAGATAATTTAGAATTTGTAAGCAGTTTATGGAGAATAATACAAATGTAAATTGGTAGAGATTTTCTGCAATTGGGGTATTCACTGATTGTATAGCACTAAATGAATACAATTTGCAAAAATGTGCTGAACATACTTTTTTAGTACTAGGAATTTAACTGAGGGTCTTATGCTTTCCAAGTAGGTGCTGTGCCATTGAGCTATCGTCTGGCCCACTATGAACCTTTATAACAAAACATTTCTGTAGGTTAGTTTAGATTGTAAAAAGTATATACCAAAAGTTAATCACAGGCTGGGTATTGAGCTCAGTGTCATAAGCGCCTTGCAAGCACACAGTCATGAGTTCAATCCTCGGTACCAAAACAAACAAACAAACAAACAAACAAACAAAAAACAAAATCATATTACTAAATTTCTATTAAATCATTGAAGAGAAGGGGCTGCACTGTCAATTTTAGAGTGTCTAGTCACTTTTTATGCTTTGATTTTATAACTTTAACAGCTATTGTTAAGATGGCAAAATGTAATGTATCAATTAGTGATTTCATGATGTTAATTTTTTAAAATTCTGTATCCTAACTTTTCTTGTTTTTTATATTTTTAAAATTTTCTTTCTTTAAATAAAAATTTAAAAAGTTAATCACAATTATATACAACTGAAAAAAATCTCACAAACAGTCTTGGGCCATAAACCTCAGACATAAAAGAGTTCATGTACTTGAGACTAAGCAAACTTAAGCTAGTAGGTTGGAAATGGGAGTAGTCTTTATCCTTAAGTGGATATTGACTGGAAACAGAAAATTAAATTTTCCTGGATTAGAATTGAATTTGTTGATGAGTTGGATCCCAGTTTTGCAGAGTTGTTTGTTTTTGAAAATTCATAGAGCACTAAATTTAAAAAGAAATTATTAGGAGAAAGGTGACATACTTTTCTGATGTTGATGTGTGAGTATGCTATAAAACAAAAAATCTGTAAAAGATAATCTTGACAGTTTTGATTATACAATACTTTCAATTTCTATAAATGAAAGAGAGTATGTAATTTTAAGAAAAAGAAGAAATTACTTTGATATTTATAAGAAATACAGAACAAGGATAAATTGTTAAGAAAATCCCTTTGCCCCCTCCATACATCATAAACAAAAAAATTGAAAGGAGTAAAAATATAAATAGATAAGGTAAAAGAAATGAAATCATTTCTTTCTTATGATAGTAATGTAAAAATAATAGCATATTATTTTATCTATTAGTTTTGTCAAAATAAAAACAAGAAAAAATATTCAATGTCATGAACGGTAAGAAGAAATGCTTATTGTCATACAGTGGAAGGAGTCTGGGAAGATGGCAGAACAGTAAGCAGCAGAGTAAACAGCCTCTCTGAGAGAAACAGCCCAGAAGCTGGAATATAGCATTCTGGAGAAGACAAGAAGGAAAGAAGTGGGCAGTCTCACCCCAGGAAGAAACTAAAGTGAGGATTTAAACCCTCTGAGAGGATAAAAAAAAAAGAAATTAAAAGTTACACAGATGAAGGTGGTAGCTGGCGGCACTTTCACTGGAGCCAGAACCACTGTGGCAGAAGCACTGTTGGAACCTGGAGACACATGGTACAGTGAAGCTGGGGGCTAGCACGCCCAATGGCCTTGGTGGGGAGATGCAGTGGCACAGGGCAGCAGCAGACCAGAGAACTGCACTGGCTGGTGGTGAGTATGTGTGTGTCTTAGTTACTTTTTACTGGTTGCTGAGACAAAATACCTGATGCACCAAGTTGGGAAAGGAAAGGTTTATTTCTTACAGTTTTTGGAAGTTTCAGTCCATACTCAGTTGGCTTCAAGGCAAGGTGGCATGGTAGGGCTGCAGTTCATGGTGGCTGAAAACAGCAAGCAGGAAACTGGCAAGAGAGTGAGACATGCCCATTACATTACATCTTGGCTCCACCCCTATGTCGATGTAGCAATCACATCCCCAATCCAAGCTCTACACAATGAACCAATCACAAATGTATAATGCAAATGCATGAGGTCTGGGGTCCACCAACATAAACCACAACAGTGTAGGACTGATTTTTCCTGTGGGAGTGGAAGATTGGCTGGGTGCCATTTTGGAGTTGGGCAGGAAAATCCTGGAGACAGAACTGCAGCCAGCTTCATTCAGCCACTCCTATCTCAGAGCAGACTGGTGGCAATTGCTTGAACTGAGTCCTGCCCCTCTGCATGGCCCAATAGGTACTGCTGAGGTTTCCCTAAAGCTATCCCTAATCAACTCTGCCTGCCTGGCACACAGTAATGTGGTGAAGACTCCCTGTGGTTAACCAGATCAGAAGCCAGGGCCAGCCTGCCCCACCCCTGCTTCCATTCCAGTAGCCACCAACAGGCTGGGGAAAGCAGCAAACATTAGGAATACCTAGCCAACACACTTCAGAGTAATTATAACCTATATAGGAAGTGCCAGGGACCCTGCTACCCACTTTTCGGGAAGAAACCAAGAACATGACAAGAAGAAGAAGAAGCAAAAGGTAGTTCTGGGCTCCAACCCAAGCAGCACTGGTTCAGGAGATGTAAACACAGAAGAGATCAGGAGTTGCACATTTGCAGTTTTTGAAGCAAAAGCACCTGAATTAAGGAAACAACTCCATAAAGTTATAAAAGAACTTAGAACAGAAATACTATTATAGGTAAAAGAAGATATAAGAAACATAATAAAAAATTGCTAAGCACCTCTAAAGAAGACACAGATGAAAGAATAGAGAAGCATAGAAATGGAGGGAAATCTTCAAGGAAGAATATAAACACATTTATAACACATGAAACAGATTCAAAGAGATTACCAGGAAATTAAAAACTCCATCGAAAGCTAACAAAATTGCTTACAAGAAACTAGAGATAGACTATCAGACCTTGAAGACAGGTTTGCAGCTTGCGATTATGAAAGGAAAGATCTCTTAAAAATAACAAGGAACCAGGAAATAACAATACAAAGGCTAGAAATGACAAATGGATTTACAATTTAAGAATAGAAAACATGTGTGAAGAAGCAGGGGTAAACACAAATGAAATACAAAGGCTATTTACAGAGGTAATTAAAGAGAAATCTCCAAGCATAGGAAAAAGAAATGATATTCAGATATATGAGGCATACAGAACTCCAGCCAGCTATAACCAAAATAGATCTATACCCAGACATGTAATAATCAAGATCCCAGAAATTCAACACAAGAACAGAATATTAAAAACTTTCAGAGAAAAGAAACAGATTACCTTTAAAGAAAACCCATCACAATCATGGAAGGCTTCTTGACACAACCATCAAATTAAGAAGAGCTTGGAGTGAAGTATTCTTTGTCTCAAAAGAAAATAACCTCGAACCCAGACTGGTGTATCCTGAAAAACTATCTCTCAAAATTAATGGATAAACAAGATACTTCCATG